AAATATACACTTTTGGAATATATGTTGTATATATAAATTAGTAATTTATTTAAAATATATATTTTTAACTTGGTATTTGGGTAAAATATACATTTTGTAATGTTGTACATTTAATTATTTCATTCGCATTTTTCTAAAAATAAAAGTGAACCTAAGTACACTTATTAAAAATATGTTATAAACTTTTCAACTTATATTTGAAATGGTGTATACATATTTTTTTATTTTAGTAGTTGCAACAATATCAATTATTATATTTATTATGCATTAATTTTTAATTAAATACATAATTTTTACTTATCATGTTGAATTGAAAATAGTATATATATTATACAATTATTCACCTTCGGCCGTTCTAGAGGAGACCATTCGGTCGCCCCCATTTCGGGTGGTTTCCGGTGGAATTTTTAATGAAATTTTATGATCATATTTCTCATGAAATTTAGATTATTTCCACAAAAAAATATTTTAAAAATCATTTGGGAAGTTATTTAAATACGTTTTTGAAAAATATTGCTTTTTTATATCTATTTTGGCGCAATATGTTTCACAATTTTATTTCACAACTTTCACAATCAAATTTTAAGGTGAATTTTGTTTTAATATAATCTACACTTCATGGGGAACATGTTCATAAAATTTCATTAAAAACTTCCACCGGGAACTACTTAAATGGGATGGACAAACGACAGTCTCTTCTAACCCGTCCAAACCAAAAATATACTATATATTTTTACAATGTAGCAAATATACCAATAAGCATTATTAGCTCGTTGGGTATTTGTTCACTCGCGCAACCTGATAATTGTGTTCAAATATAGTAAAATATACATTTTTGTAATTATATATATTTAATTATGTCATTTACATTTTTCTAAAAAAAATTACCCAATTAATCTGTAATTGGGTAAAATATACATTTTTAAATCATAAATTTTTGTAATGAAGTACATTTAATTATATCATTTTCATTTAATTATGTCATTCATCTCCGGCCGTTACGGAAGAGACTTGTCCGGTCACTCCCATTTGGGGTGGTTTCCGGTGGAATATTTTAATGAAATTTAATGATCATATTTTTCATAAAGTGTAGATTATTTCCACAAAACTTTATTTTAAAATTAAATCGTGAAGCTAGTTAAATATTTTTTTGAAAAAAAATTGCATTTTTTATATGTGTATGGGCGCATATGTTTTAGAATTTTATTTTACTACATTCATGATTGAATTTTAAAGTGAATTTTTTACAAATAATCTAAACTTCATGAGTAACATGCTCATAAAATTTCATTATAAAATAGCACCGGGAACCATCCAAATGGGGTGGCCAGACGGCGGTCTCCTCTAGCCTAGACTGGAAATATACGCTATATATTTTTGCAATGTCATAAAGCATCAACAAGCTTTAGTAGCTCTTTGGTTTCTCCTTCACTCGGCTAGCATGAGCACTTGGGTTCGAATCCCACCTCCAACATTATTTTTGAGCAGGAGTAACAAGGCTTGAAAAGAGGGTAAAATAGACATTTCATATAAAATGATATGTTTGAATGGTAAGGAGAGTAGAATATGAGCTGAACCATTAAAACGTTTTACGTCTGAGCGAATAAGTCATTTATTTCATTAAGTCGCAAGTAAACACGCCTATATAGCTGAACGAATAAGTCATGATTTCCATTAAGTCCATTAAGTCGCAAGTAAACAGCCCCTAAAGCTAATTATGGAGCAAACTCTAATTCAGACCTCTGAATGCATAAGTAGAGTTTCACAATTAAAAAATACTATTATAATTCAGATGCAAACTCTAATTTTGCGTCTACGCATCCTCTCCATTCATCTGCAAATAGGATTATATTGCGAGGATGGTGTAGCTATACACTATGTGGATTCTATTGTTTCTGTTGGGGATTGGGTTCCGATTTGTTCAACTCTCTTTGTTCAAGTTTATGCAGGGGATAGTCTTCCATGGGTATTAAATAAAAGTTACTTTTTTTATTAAATAAGTTTACAATTCCATTCATCTCAAGTTACGTATCTATGAATGTGAGTTAAATGTCAACTTTTCTCAGCAAGTTACATCATACTTAAACGTGATTTACATTTTTCATTACACGAGTTACACCATAGTATGATGCTAGTTACACAACAAAATAAGCTCATGCTATTCAAAGAAAAATTATTTTTATAAAAATGATTTTTACAGAAATAAAAAAATATAGAATGATTTTTATAAAAATGATTTTTATAAAAACTATATTTGAAGTGGTATAACAAGTTCAAGTTGAGAGAGTAGAACAGGTTACATAAAAAACACTGGATTTACATTTTACAATAACGCGAGTTACATTTGTCATAATGCGAATTACATTTGAAAATAAACTCCTGCTAATGAAGAAAATAAAGGATTTTTAAAAAATTATTTTCAATAGCCTTGACATTAAAAAATAAAACATATACACTATTTATGTAAAGCAATTGTGCAATTAGACTTTTTTTTATTGTTTACATTGAAATCGATATTTTATTTTTTATACTATGTATTTGACAAGTTACATTTCGAATGGACTTGAGTTACATTGGTCAACAACTTGAGTTACATCTCTTTATACATGAATTACATCACTCTGCTATTGGAACAAAAGAAAGAAGAAGAAAAGCTACTATTCACGCGCGTGAACAGTAATACGCGAATTTTGTCTTTGGGAGCACAATGCTCACCGTGGGTTGCTCCCACGGTATAATGACGGGTCCAAACGGTGGTGCAAAACAGTTTTGAAGTGAGTCTCTTACCGTGTCCAATAGGGCTGCACATCGGGCGGGTTGGGTCGGGTTTGCTATATTTTTTTGGCCTACTCGATTTGTTCGGGTTGTCTATTATTCAACCCGCGGTGCACACAATAAGTTGGTAACCCATGCATGAACGGGTCGGGTAGGGTCGGGTATTGAAAAAAAATCACTTCGAGTTGCATCTTTATGTGAGAGATTAATGTAACCAATTTAAAACTCGATTAACTTGTTTTCAAAACACACAAACAAATACAAATACTCTTATCTTTTATAAGCAAAAACATTAGATAATAGTATTAAAACATCCTTCCGTAAAGGAAGATCATTTAGAAGGAAACATAAATATATAATAATCACCTAGTCAAAATGGTAAATTTTTAATTATAATTCTAGTATCATAAAGTCCTAGATAGAGCACATTGGTCTTAAATCAAAATTATCCAAGAAAACATTGTAGCATAATAATAGTAAAATGAACTTCGGCCGGGTCGGGTACTATCGGGTTGGAGATTTTAATTCCGCAATCCTACCCATTAGGTGCGGGTTCAATCATATTTAACCCATGAATATTTTTAAAAATCAAATACCCGATTAAATAGGGTCGGGTAGGATTGGGTCGGGCGGGTTATGCGGGTTCCGGTTATTCTTGTGCAGCCCTAGTGTCCAATTTAAAATTACATAATCTCACCTAGAAGCCTAAGTCCAATTTAGCACGAAGTCTCAAGCCGTGTTGCTCGATCTGATGCAACTATCTATTAGACCCTCATTCTTTATAACATCCAATTGAACTCTTAAGAAGCCTAAGTCCTTTTCTCTTTTCATTTTCTTTTCCTTTTTTATTTATTTATTTCCTTCCTTCTTTCCTTCTCCCCTTTGGCCCTTTCCCTTTCTTCTCCATTTCTTCCCACGCCTACAAGATAATCATTTCTTCTTTCTAGCTTTCTTCCTTTCCGTTCAGTTTCTTGTTCCCTATTTCTCCACTCGTCGGCTCTATGTTCTTAAGCGGTGAGGGAAACGGGACTGCCGCTGCATCTAGTCCTCTCCTGTAAAAGGAAAAGGGATCTGTCGAAGCATCTTCCCATCAACGACATGCGAGTGATGCTACTAACAAATTGGGTCATATGAGCATCTATAAACCTTTTTTATTAAAGCAATGTTTTCTATTGCTTTAAAAAGTAATTTTATACTTTTTGCTTAAAAGAAGTGTAGTATTTACAAACAAATTATTTTGATTAAATTAAGCACGTTAAAAGATACGGAGTAATAGTTACAAGGTGAATATTCTTTAAACTGATTTTTCACATTTTCTATTTTCAAAATTTCATATCCCTTCATATCCCTTTCATTTAAATTTTGAAAATCTCAATTTTTTAATCTTTATACTAATAAGGAAAGAAAGATATTAATGATCAAACTTATGCGTTGACAAGTGTGAAAAGTGGATCTCGTTGCAATTACAAAAGAACGGATGAAGTTTATGAAATTAAAGAAAATGACATTGCAAGTTGCAATCTTCATACTATTATGTTCTTTAAGCTATTAATAAGTAGAACAAAGGCTCATTTCATTCTGTTTCTATGACAACTCGTAAAAAATAAAACTCAAATTCAACTCTAAATCTGTGATTCCTGTCTACTACCAAAAAGTCCATCCTTTATATTGGTATCTTATTTCACAATTTACTGTTCGTTCATACGAAGTACTTTTGTGATAATTTAAATGCTACATTTCTTTGAACTTTAAAACAATGATTGGGCTTTCCCGTAACAACACAGATGAGTTAAAGAGTTTAAACTTTAAAGACTGGTTGCACCTATCGGATTTGTTGGCTGGTTGAGCCTTTGATTTCTACAGTAAACCCAAAAGTTAGGTAACCTTATACATAATTTAAGCAATCAAGGATAACTGCTTGAACATTCATTTATATATGAGGGGACTTTGATTCTTTTGAGAAAGTATATCAACTATCAATGACATATAGTATAATGCTAGAATCTCTCAATTTGCATATACTCCGTATGTTTTTTTGTTTGAATATTCAATTTGCATATATGTATTCCATTATTTACATGAACAAAAGAGAATTTAATTAAACGGGTACATTTAGGATGTTTTTACTTGGACTGTAATTTGTTGGTCTGGTCTGGTCTGATCTGGTCTGGTCTGGTCTGGTCTGGTCTGGTTTGTACTGGTCTGGTCTGGTCTGGTTTCTTTGTATTTTTATAACTATCCAAGTCTGGTCTGATCTGGTCCGGTATGGTCTGGTCTGATCTGGTCTGTGAAGAATTACAGTCCGGTTAAAAACATCCTTAGTAATAAAAAATAAATAGTATAATATGCACGTATGAAACTTAGTTAAAGAAACATGTAATACACAAATAATAAGTGGCCTAATCACGAAACTTAAGCGGGCTGAACCTACATCAATCAGTTTCATATCAATGACGGACAAGATACAAATAGGTCACGTTTTGGTTGAAAACTCAAACCTTGGATATTCTTGTCAACTTGGATATTCTTGTCAATATTGAATTATGGGATTTTATAATATCAACCTTTTGTATTCTGTAATCAATGGTTTGCACTCAAACAATTACAAAAACTCCACCGTACCAAATATGAGCCACTGATTAGAAATATAAAATTTTCACTCCTCGGGCACTTAAATTAGCTTCTCATGTACTCCCTCTATCCCCTAATTAAGTTACCACTTTCCTTTTTAAGCAGTCCCTAAATTAAATTCACACTTTCTTACTTTCCTTATTTAGCAAATAATCTATATCAAAACAGTGTCAAAAAGTGCAAAACAGTGTGAAACTGTGTTTGAACAGTGCAAAACAGTGCACTTCACAGTAAAGTCAAATTTATTTTTTTATTACATGTATGTATGTGAAGTCAAACCGGGAACTTAATTGGGGGACGGAGGAAGCAAATTTCTAATGACCATCCCGGCCCATATAGGGGTGGACTCGGGTCCGGGCTGGGTCCGGGTCGGGCCTAGGCCCGGGCGGGCCGGCTGTTCAGGAATGGTGGACCCGGGACCGGCCCGGGTAGCCATCGGGTCCGGTCCATGTCCGGTCCGGGCCGGGCCGGGCCTCCGATTTGGGTTTTTTTTCTGCTTTCCTAACCCCCCCCTCACCCCCCCACCCTCTCAAACCCCCCAAACCCCTCCTAACCTTATCAACCTCGCACGGTCTCAATCGGTCCATACCACCGCGGGAAACCGCATCTGAAGGCGATGGAGGAGCACAAGTGGAGGTTCTTGGCAAGAGCGATAGCCAGGACGGGCGTGGGTTTGGATCGCCTCATAAATGGGGTCAAGGTATTAGAAACACAGGCCAGAGCATCGTATTCTGAGGCTATCCTCAATGACAAACCTAATGAGTTCGTAGAGATGTTGGTTCTTGATGGGATCTTTGTGATTGAAATACTTCGGGGATTCAGCGAAGTGGTTCCCTTTGACAAAGACGACCTCTTGGGATCAATGCAATGGATGCGTTGCCGTCTCCGCGACGACTTTCTCTGCCTCGAGAACCAAATACCATATATCGTGCTCCAGAAATTGTACCAACTTACTGAAATGAAAGGCAGGGAATGGTTGCCCAGCAGGAGAATGCCTACTCTGTCCCAAACGGCCTTGCACTTATTCAAAATTTCTGATGAAACCGGAAGAGACCCGGAAACGATCCGCGGTGCTTTGGGTTGCGACATTGAAGGGCTTCATCTTCTTGATTTAGTCCGGAAAAGTTATTTCCCGCAGCAGAAGCAGAAACCAACGGTTTCAGCTTCGGGAAACCCGCCGAGTGGAGCCGAAAATGTGTTGTCAGTTTGGGACTGTTTGCGGACCAAAGTACCGAACATCCGGAGCATCTCGAAGCTGAGGCGAGCCGGAATCGTGGTGAAGCTGAGGGTGCACCAAGATTGTGAGAGGAGTTTCCTGCCGGTGAAATTCAAGCGGGGAGTGATCTGGATGCCGCTGCTAGAGCTGGATGACACTATGTGCGCGATCTTGCTGAACTTCATTGCGTTCGAGCAGTGCTACAAGGGGACAGACAAGCGCATGTCGGAGTACGTTAAGTTTCTGCACTGCCTCATAGACATGCACGAGGACGTGGATCTGTTGTGCGAGGCCGAGATCTTGCGCCACCACTTTGGGTCGCAGCGTGAGGTGGCGGAGTTTGTGAACCGCCTGGGGATGGCGGCGGAGGTCGATAACACCAAAAGCTATTTGAGAGACGTGTACGTTGGAGTGGACGAGCACTACAAAAACAAATTCCACGTTTACTTGGCCGAGGTCAGAGACACCCACTTCCGATCTCCCTGGACCGCCCTGTCTCTGTTAGCTGCCCTGATTGTCCTTGCTCTCACCGTGGGTCAAACCATTTACACCATCTATCCTTATTATCACCCACACGAAGAGAAGCATTCCATAGCACCACCACCAAAACCATATCCTTAATCCTATTTTGAAAACTCAACATTAGGATTTTTATTTATGTATTTAAATATGTTTTAGTTCAATTTGGAGTAATTTCTTGGAAACAAAATACTCCCTCTCTCTCCAATTATTGTTCTATTTTTCCATTTTTGAATATCCTTCTATTATTATCTCATACAGAGTACTATCCTCTGTTCCATAAAAGTTGCAACAATTTGACTTTCACGTTTGCCAACGCGCAACTTTGACTGTAATTATATTTATTTACGTATTAGTAAAAATTAAAAAAAGTTAATATATTGGAAATTTACATTAATACAAATTTATTAATATTTTATACATAATATTTTTATTATATATATTATTAGAAAATCGTAGTTAAAGTAAGGTGTGTGAATAGTGCAGGAATTCCAATGTTGCAACTTTTATGGAACGGAGGAAGTATCATATTACACTATTCTTTCTTTATTTACATTTTATCAACTCATTATTAATCACATAATTCTACTATTCTTAAAACCACACAACTTCCTTTCGTCCCAATATCAGGGGAACGGAGGAGGGAGTAGCTTTTAAATCATATCTGCTATGACCTAAAAACCAATAATATTATAGTTAGACAAGATTTTTAATAAAAAGTACTATTGTGTATTTGAATATATGCGATGCTATATATTAAATTCGATTAACCACTGATTACACGCAATATAAATATAATTTGAAAACACATTAGACTTGTTGTTAAATGTTACTGTATAAAGCACTTCTTTATAGACAACAATCTCAAACAAATATACCGACTATTATTTATACGAATTGCAATTTTAAAAAGATTTGACTTTGTAAACTTGCAAAGCACGGGGGCATTATGGTATTGAAGTAGTATTTTTTTTTTGGAGGGGGGGGGGGGGGGGGGGGGGGCGTAATTGGTATTATATATTCGCCACACCATTTACAACCAATAGATCTCACATATTTAAAAACATAAGTAAAATTGGAATTTTTCAATGCACGGTTGGTGAATTTTTCACATGTTCAATCATGCTTAGTCAAATTTGGAATAAAGAATAAAATTGTAATTCTAAATGAATCATTTAGAATAAAAATAATTAACACTTTAGAATTATAGTCCCTACAATAATGAATTTTGATATGTGATGTAATATATTAAATTCAATTAACCACTAATTACACACAGTATAAATGTAATTGATGGATAGTGTACCCGGGGGTAGCTTATCCGAGGGGTTATTACGAGGAATAACAAGAGAGAAGTCAGAGCAAGTAAGTATAGAGAGAGAAAGTATATTGGAAAGTGTTCAACGTTTTTAGCGTGGTTACAAATGGGGAAATGGAGTGCTATTTATAGTAGCAATAAATGCCGGATAGGGACACGTGTCAAGCGTTCATTGGCCGAGGGGTCACCTCAACTGGTTGGCGCTGGCAACCGCATGTGGCCGCATTTAATGCGGCTGTTGGATGGGACGTTGTACAGGGTACAGTGATCTGTACGCATGTGGAGCGGATATCATGTCGGGAAAGGTGTCCTCGGCTGTAGAGGACTAGCCGAGGGCTCTGAGTACCGGGGACCCCCTTGGTGCCGAGGGCTCCGGGTGCCGAGGGCTACTGATTTTCGCCGTTTTTCGCAGTAACTTTGTTTTGCTGTCTTGGCCCTCCTGTGAGAGTTAGAGCCTTCGGCCAGGGGGCCGAAGGCACCCCTGGTGCGCATTTGTGGGCTGCTTGGTATCTTGGGCGTCGTGATTCGGGCCTGTTGTGCTTTCTGGGCCTGTGGGGCCTTTATTGTAGTAGTTGGAGTCTGTGGGCCGGGGGTTCCCGGGCCATATACTCCATCAGGAGTCCCTCACTCCTTTTGCCGAAAGGTACTTGAGGGAAAAGGAGTAATTTGTGTTTGTCCTCTGTCGTTGTTCCATTTGTAGTTTGTAGAGTTGTGGGTAGTTTGCTGTTTGTTTATTCTGCCGAGGGCAGTCCCTCAGTTACCCACATGTCGGGACTTGAGGGGTCATGTTTGTGATTTTTGTGATTTTTCCCGAGGGGGGTCCTCCAGTCCCCCACTCCTTGAGGCACTTGCAAAGTGGTGAAAAGGAGTAGAGTAGTTGCGTTGCTGTTGTGGTCCGAAGGCTGACGCTTTTCATTTCATTTTGGGGGGATGCCTCGTTAAAAACCTCATTAGGAAAAACCCTGTGGGAAAAAATCCTAATGAGGGAAAAAGAGTGCACTGAATTCCCCCAACGATGAATCGAAAATGTGAAACCTTGGTTCGAAATGGAGAATAATGCGGATGCCGAAGGCTCTCCTTGTTCTGAGGGCTCATTTGTTGATTAGCCGGAGGCTGGCTTTTGATACCCTGGGAGGCGCCGAAGGGGAGCCCCTCAATCTGGGGATTGAGGGAGTAATTAATGCGGGTAGTAGTTGAATTGTTACCGGGGGGTCCCCTGTTTGTTGATTAGTTGGTGATGAGGATATCCGAGGGGCCCCGTTACCTGTGTGCCGTAGGCTATCCGTCAATGAGGCATACTCCCCGGGGGCTACCCGGCCCTCAAAGTGCTGAGGGGGGATCCCCGAGGGGTGGCCTGATATGAAGTCTTGGGCTTCTGAAGGAGTGATCCCGAAGGAATTCGTTATGTACTGTGTGGGGCACAACTCGGGAGCGTCTTTGGGTAAGTGTACCCGGAGGCTCTCCTTGATGAAGTGGAGTGAAGTAAAAAGCCCGGGGGCTCCCAGAATATAGCCGTTGGAAATATAGCCGTTGGAATATGTAACGTCAGGATATAGCAGTTGGGGGGGGTTGCCACGTGGTGCGTGCTCGTTGGCTGCCCGTGGGCGGGCGTCACCGATTGGGTGAAACCACGGTTGGTAATGATGGTAGTCCAACCGGAGGCCCGGTTTCCAGGCCCAAGCCCGGATCCAAGCGCCTATAAATACCCCATGGCCGGCTTCACTTTCCTTTGTGTGAAATCATTGTAGCGAAGCTCTGCCAAAATTTCTAGAGAGAGAAAAAGCCGCCTTCGATCAAATCCTTGCCTTAAGGTCAATTCCCCATTGCTCTTCTCCTTCTAGTTAGTTGTGCCCTGTGTCTTTAGGCTAGGAGATAGATCTTTTAGAAAACTCTAGTGTTTCCGAGCCCTCGAACTAGTGCATAGATGTCTTCCCAAAGTGATTCTCAGGACATCTCGGGGGCGCCCTCGATGGAGGATGAAGTCATCTCGGACGTGGAGTCCACAAGCGAACAACCCTCGGTGGGACAAGATGCTGTTGTCGCCATGGAGCTGCAGAGAGCCCTCGTCGCTGAGGCGGAAGCCGAGGGCTTCGAACAAGAGTGTGAAGATGAAGAGCTGGCCCTCGCCTGGCAAGCAGCTGAAGAAGAGGCGCAGAAAGAGGGCGTGAGGGTCACTGTTGCTGTTCTCCCCCCTCGAGGCACTGGCGAGGCCAGCACCTCTCGGCCGCTGAATGCGGTTCCCATCCGGGTGGCCCCCGGAAAAAAGAAGGCAAAGGCTGTCGATTCCAAGAAGAAGGGCTGCGTCGCAGACCAAGGGAAGCCCCTCGACATGCCCGAGGGGTATTCCTACCTGAATACCGCCGCCTTAGAGATAAGGTCGAAGGCTGATGCGGCGGATCTCTATGTCACCCAATTACACGTGGGCCCCTCGGCCATCGGGGTGACACCGGGTCCCTATGACGTCCTCTCCCGGGCTCCCGAGGGCTGCATTGCGGTGCATGTCCTGTTTGTGTCGATGGGGCTCCGGTTTCCCCTACATCCCTTCCTCCGGGAGTACCTCCGGTTCGTGGGTTTGGTCCCCTGCCAGCTGACCCCGAACAGCCATTCCTACATCACGGGCTTCCTCCAGCTCTGCAAGTCCCGGGGGGTAACGCCTAGCCTGGATCTCTTCTTCCAGAGCTTCAACCTGTGCCGGGGGGGGGCATGCGAATGCCGAGGGCTTCGCAAACTTGCAGCAGGTGGCCCTGTTCAAGCTTTTTACTGAGGCGCCCTCCTCGAACAAAGGGTGGAAAGACCGGTGGTGCTATGTGAAGCTGACCGAGAGCCCCTTCCCGAGGGAACTGCGTGACCGGTTCAGGAGGCATGAGAAGAGGAGGAGCGCCGCCCTCGAGAAAGACGGCAGGATCCTGGCCAAGATCCCGGAGGGCCGGGACAAAAACATAACCATCAAGGAGTGCACCAAAGAGGAGGATCTTTACACCCTCGGATTCCGGCGGTATAGCTTCCTGGGGGAAACGGATGAAAGATTCCCAGCATTTGAGAGAGCCTCCGGAGGTAGTTGCTGAGAGCATCCGGTCCTTTAGACTTATGCATATTTAGGTGTAGATATGCTTTTTGTTGTATCTTTTCTCCTTCGGCTCTAACCGTTTATTATTTTTTCAGGTATCAACATGGACCTCAATGCCTTCGCCAACCTCAAAAAGCAAAAGGTGAAGGCCCTGGGCCAGAAAGAGCCCGTCAAGCAGAAGCCCCTCGGGGAGCTGAAGAAGGGCAGTGAGCCCTCGGGGGAGGCTGCAAAGTGGAAGGCCGCCGGCAAGGCGCCTATCCCCGAGGGGAAGAAGCAGAAGAAGGGGGATGCCGGGAAGAAGGCTCCCCTGGTGGTGGTGGTGGACGAGCACTCCGCCTCCGAGCCCAGTGCTCCAATGACATCAACTGCTCCTCGCCCGCCCTCGGGTCAAGGTGGTGAAGCAAGCTTGCCCCGGGAGGACATACAGTTCTCCCTGCCGAAGGGGCAGCCATTACGCATGGCACAGTAGATCCCCGGGAATTTTTGGGCAGGGCTACCCCTGCTCTGGATAGGAGGGCCCTCGAGAAGCTCGACGATGAAGCCCTCGAGTCAAAGATCCTTCGGTCCTCCCTTACTGTGAGTTCTTCTCCTTTTTTCCTTCTTCTTTCTCTTTTCTTAGCATAGTGGCCTAACCTCTTACTTTGTTGTTTTTTTCAACAGGCCTGCATAGCCCTCGGCGAACACGCCAGGAGGTTCGATGAGTGGCGCCTTCAGAAGGCACAACAGGAGGAGTCCCTCAAGAAGCTTGTTCATGACAATGCCGAGGCCATGAGGCAGATGGCTCAGCTGGAGAGGGACCTCCAGCAGGCGAGGGCGGAAGCTGAGAAGGCGGTCAAGGAGAAAGCGGAGGCGGAGAAGGCTGCTGCCGAGGCTGCAAAAAAGGCCCTCGAAGATGCCGAGGCCGCAAAAGCAGAGGCCGCCGCTGGTGCAGTTGCCG